CACTTTTACGGGAACCAACGTACTTTCCCGGGGGGGGGGGGGGGGGGGCGGCGGCACCACAAACGCTGGCTAAATGCAGGTCCCTCGTGCCAACCAGTTAAAAAAGGCCTTTCATTGTGGCACAAGGGGACGTGGCCGTTAGTCGCCCATGTTATGAGACGCGACCACCAGACCTCGGTTTTCGAGGTCCCTCACAGCCACGCCTCCACACTAAACCTATCGCCCGATAGAGACATATCCGCGCATCAAAAATGGTTGCGGGAACGTCAAATCCTCAACCAAAACTCCTGTGCGCCCTATTCGCACCTGCGAGAGCCCCGCCCCGCCCCGCCCTCTTTCAGGCGCGCACGCAAGCACCCTGGCCTCGTTGGCCCAGATCGTCCACCACACCGCATGAAGGAGATCGTCCACCACACCGCATGAAGGAGATCACAACCAACAACCAACAACCAACAACCAAACGCCTCTCTTTCATGAAAATAGTCTGCCAGAGGGTCTTAATCCTGTAACAAGCTAATCTAGGTCCAAAAACGGCAAATCCGCCTCTTTTCCTTTGCGCATCCACCAACCGTGTTCACCTGGGGGCGGGTTCTTGTACAGCACATGGTTTGACAACGAACGTCTATCTGATTGGGCGCCATACGGGTGGGAGGGCCGGCCCAACGTCGAGGCAGAAGGATCTGCCGCGACTGGGCCCCACCGCAGCCAAGCGCAACCCACCCTCCAAGGAGAACCTGCCGTAACCGTAAGCACCCTGTAGGGAGATTGGAGGTGTGTTTGGCTGGAAAAACATTGTCTAGTGAGTCACCCTCCCCCCCCCTCCCTCCGCCTGACCCACAAAGGAAAAAACGGCGGCCCTCTCACGGCACTCTCTCACTCTTGTCCCTTCCTCCCTGCACATCCTTGACGCGACTCTCTCTCTCTCTTCTCTCAAACACCCTCCCCGCACGTCTGTTGACAAGCCCCTCCTCATTTTCCTCAAGCAACTCAACTCTTATCGTGGACCGTCAATCGATCAGCCTTGGAACCCCAGAAATGACAACATCGAAACACTCGTAGCACCTGCTAAACCTCGGCGACGTCAAATCGCCTACCAGCTCGGAGCACCAAAACGATTCATTCGCTTCCCGCCCGATCCCGATCCTGACCGAAGTTTCCACAGACGCCTTCGAAGGTACCACCAGCAATCCCCCCCCGGAACGAAAAACTCCTCCTCCCCTGTCCCCGAAAAGCGGAGATGGGGGGTGGGTGTACTCATGAAAACGCATGCCGTAGTCATTAGACCTTGACCTCGGGGGGGGGGGGTCAGACACACCTGGCATCATCCACCTCCCTCCCTCTTTGGTCCCCCCCCTACCTCCTGCCGGAAGAGCGGGTTGCCTACGACAACACGGGTCCCCAGCCCACTGCTAAGGCCAGGGCGGGAGACAGAATCAACATGGGGTTCTCGAATACGCCATGAAGCAGACAACAGTGTATTGTGCGCACGTGCAAGAAGGGAGGCAATGACTTTTGACCTACGAGGTTGTAGGGCTACTGCCCGCCCTGCTCCGTTAGGACCCCGTGTCGAAAGGGTGACGCGGATTATATCCCGTCCGCCACCAACACCACCAAAACCAACGACGGGGACCCCGCCGCCGGAAACCAACGCGGCACGACGTGGCATCATGTGTTCTCGCGGACAATTACGCTCTGAACACACGGCATCGTAGCTGCGTGACGGCTCACTCCTGAGATTTTCAACACGCATTCCGCGAAAAAATACCGTACCACCGCACATACTCCAGACATGCCGTCAAACAACAACTGGCACCGTCATCGCGTGTACTAGAGCCACCAAGATGACGGCAAAAAAAAATACTAGAGCCACCAAGATGAATCAGGGTTGGAGATACCACACCGTTACCGCTGCCGCTACCCCCGCTGTTGGGCGCTGAAAATCGCTCAGGCCATCCCGAGCTCTACGCGTACACCGGCAAGCGAAAATAAAAACAACCTTTTGCTACACGAAAAAAAAGACAGGAAAAAAAACACACAAAAAAAAAAACTGCCAGACATTCATTTCTCAGAGTTTCCGCCCTCCGGAAGACTTAGGGGAAGACGCCCGAGAGGATGACGTTGACGAAGAGGCGTCGCCTACGCCGCTACCGGGGGCAGCCGTGACGCTCCCCATGGACTTCCGCCGCAACGAGGACGAGGAAGGGGTGGAGGACGGCTCCGACGACGGCGACGGGGAAGACTTCCCGACGCTCGATCTCGGGCCGACGTTTACGGTGGGCACGAGGTCGTTCGCCAGGAGCTGGGCGTGGAGAGCCTCGCTGGCGCGACGGTATCTGCAGGGGCGCAGTGGCGGGGGGGGGGGGGGGGGCGGGCCCCTAGTTTTTTGCGGCCTAACGGTTTAGCCCTTGACCCCCCCCCCCCGAGAGGACGGGGCCCTGTTCCCCCCGGACCCAACCCGGAAGGCCCATCCTTCCCTCCCGAGTTGTCAAAGGGGGCCCAAAGGGGTTTTCCCCGGGCGGGCCAAGCCATCGGTCCCACTTGCCCCCTTTTCAAACCCCTTCCGGGGCCCCCCCCCCCATCCCAACCCCCCCTTTTTGG